CCACATTACAATATATAGTATAGGATTAACATAAGACTTCCCAGAGGGTCTCTAAAGGGTCTCCCATGGCAAACAGATCCAGAAAACCCCAGGCTGATTGACATTACATTTTTCGACCTGCAGGTGCATGTCCTGGACACTCAGGTGAATAGAGGGGCGTAGCAGTCTAACAATCACCACCTAGGGGTACCTGAATATAGAGTAAGCCGAACAGACTCGGAAGGCCAAAGTGAGTAGTGAGGGCCTTACATTAAGGGATGCTGTAAAGCTTTAAAGAGACTTATTCAGCCTGGTTGGCTTGTGGGACCCCTAAGGCAGCAGGCAGGCACTATAAGGCAAAGTATGCCAGTGCCTGGGTCATCACAGAAGTAAAAACTTAGCCCTGGAGGCACTTTGTCTCTCATCTGGCCTGTGAATGTCTCACCCATCAAAACTCCGGGAGTCTCTGCTTAGACTGCTGCCTTGGCGACTCAGTCCCTGAGAAAGCGGAAGACGACAAGCTATATCTTCTTTCTTTAAAAGAAGATCGAGCAAAAATGCATAAAACAGAGTCAACATTGAAACAAACAACAGCATCTTGTTCTTTAGAATTAAAATTATAGATTGTTGTAAAATCATTTGATAAAATACTTTAATAGAGAGGGATGATTCTTGGCTGTATTATTGTATTTAACCAGTGTGTTTTTCTTCCTCTGGATCTTCCACCAGAACGAGACATCATCTACTCCTCAGTGAGGTAATCTACCAGTCCAACATTTGACCTCCAGTTGCTGCCCTCTGATTGTTTCATCCATCAGTCTTTACTTCAACATATATTCATGTAATTGCTTAAGTCAGGTTGTCATTGTGTTTTAAGAGCATTTCTCTAGAAATAAATGGTTAAAAGTATGAAGTGTCACCTTGACTATTATCACAGCCGTGAGATCACACCTCCTGTGGGTTTCAGAGAAACAGTACAAAATAACTGGTGTGTTTCTGTGTGGTCATCTCTATCTGAAGCCGCACCAAACAGCAAGCAAAGAACAATAAACCGCAATCTAACAAAGGCTTCAGTGGAAACTTTTAGAGAAGAACCACTAGCAGCTGAAAGTGTCTGTCTTCATTAACATTTTAAAAAACTTGTCTTTCTTTTTCATTGTATATCTTATCTAAATATGTCACCAACTAATCTTGCCAGCCAATTCCAGCCGTTTCAAACTCTCACATGTACAAAACTCATGGCTGCAAGGCACCTTCAACCTGGGCAACGCACCGCTCCACACAAGCACGGCATTAATCAAGGCACAGGCAGGCACCCATGCAGAAAAACACCCTGCTGTTGTGGGAGTTTACAAGAATATTATGAATATATTAAATTACTTTAACTGGAAGTTATAGATAATTAATAGGTCATTTAAATCCAAGGTAAAAATAATTAATTATTATCAGTTGAATGATTATAACAGTAATTTGCTTACTGACAAGGGTTTTTAGCCTCTTACCTACAGTAAAAGTTGTAACTCCTGAATCCAGCTGTTAAAAATCCAGTTGTCTTTCACCAATTTTGTAATTTAGGCTATCGCTCTTAGCAATTCTATTAATCACTGACCAAATAAATGTGTCTCTGTGCATTCGGATGTTACTGAGAGAAGAGTGAATCCAGCCTGAGAGGTAAATCATTTACTGTGTAAAATGAATACTAAAGACCACGGGTTAAAATACAATGGTACCTTTATTAGCTTCAATTACACAGCATTAATATGTAATAATAAAGTAAACACTAAAAACTACTGATAATAAGCAAAATTAAAGAAATAAAAGGGGAAGAGGGGTTTAAGAATCCGTTCAAAGTCTGAGGCATGTACGGAGTTTAAGGCTTAATGCAATGAAAGTACTTGTACTCGTCGTCTCCCGCTTTATCCGGAACCGGGTCGCGGGGGCAGCAGACTAAGCAGAGACTCCCAGACTTCCCTCTCCCCAGACACCTCCTCCAGCTCTGTTGGGGGAAGCCCTAGGCGCTCCCAGGCCAGCCGAGAGACATAGTCTCTCCATTGGTCCTGGGTCGTCCCCTGGTCCTCCTCCCGGTGGGACGTGCCTGGAACACCTCCCTAGGGAGGGGTCCAGGGGGCATCCGAAGAAGATGTCCAAGCCACCTCAACTGACTTCTCTCGATGTGGAGGAGAACGGGCTCTACACTGAGCCTCTCCCGAATGACCAAGCTCCTCACCCTGTCTCTAAGGGAGAGCCCAGCCACCCTGCGGAGAAAGCTAATTTCAGCCGCTTGTATCCGGGATCTCGTTCTTTCGGTCATGATCCAGACTTCATGACCATAGGTCATTATTCATTTTCACCTTAAAACTGAATTAAACTTCATTGTTTTTATTGCAGTTAATATGTCTGCGTAACAATTTATTCACATTTTATCTGCTGCTATTTTTTGAGGACACTTTCCTTGCCAACCGCAAAAAGGTGGCTTGTCCCCTTCAGGTTGGAGAAGAGTCCCTGCCTCAAGTGGAGGAGTTCAAGTATCTTGGGGTCCTGTTCATGAGTGAGGGAAGAATGGAGCGGGAGATCGATAGACGGATCGGTGCAGATCGGTGCGGATCAGTGCAGCTGCTGCAATAATGCGGAAGCTGCACCGGTCTGTCGTGGTGAAGATCTAGCTAAGATAGGCTTGGACTTATTGCTATTTTCAAAGTTTTGTATTCTGAGTCTTTGTATTAAATATGTATCTTGTTTTTCAATATATTCATTTAGTTTTCATTTTATTTCACGGGTTTTATCTAATTTTTCCTCATCTAGCAAGCTTTCTAGTAACTTAACCTTTTCCTCTAATTCCTGGATCTTTTTTTGTTCTAACTGTTTTTATGAGATGAGAATGAAATAATTTTACAAGGGTTTTGTTGTATTCTGTTGTATTCAACCTGTCTATTTTTCCATTTAGACCATAGTTGAGGTCACCCCCAATAATCAGATAACAGTCCCTGTGCTTTAAAGGTGTGAGGAAAAGTTTGTGGAACAATGAGGGGTCATCAACATTTGGACCATATATGCTGACAATACACAACTTTTGGTTATGAATTTATATTTTAATTATGATGAATCTGCCTTCAAGATAAATAATTTTGTCTAATAAAGTAAAACTGAGGTTTTTGTGGATTAAAATTGCTACTCCTCTCTGTCTAGAGTTATAGCAGGCTGCAAACACATCAGGGAACTCAGGGGAATTAAGATCACTTACAGTTGCCGCTGATTTATGGGTTTCTTGAAATAAGACAACATCTGCTTTTAATCTTTTAAATATGCTTAAAGCAGAACAGGAACAGGCAGGCTGAGAGGTCAACAGGTCAGGAAATAAGAACAAAAACGGGTTCGTTAGAGAACTCTTCCCAAAGGATCAAGCTGGAGGTTCAGATGAGTTCTAATTAGAAACTGGCGAAGCTAGACAGGAGAATGAAATGAGTAATCATGTCATTCATCAGTGCCAATATCATGATAGAGTAGGTGCAAAATATGCATGTGTCACAAGGTGACAGGAGCTGCCTTTTATCTAGCAGACTGTTGTGGCTCAAATTTCTATGTATTTGTGTTTTGGTATTTTAAGTAGATTTTTATTATGCACTTGTGTTTATATTATCTAAGGTTTTTTATTGGCCATGAATATATGGACAAAGGTGCCCAGCTCCCCCTTGTTTTATTCCCCTCCCTTCTCCCATTAGGTACAGCTGCCCAGAACGGTCCAGCAGTGGAGTGAACAACTGTTTTTCAGTCACTTAAATAAGTCCATATTAGTAACCCCGTCCATGCTTTTGCAGACTTCCAAAAGCCTTTTTTTTATTAGATGCAAGCCTGGATGGAATGGAAGCGGTCCTGTCACAAGTGCTAGAGGAAAGGGAACAGGTCATTGCTAAAGCCAGCAGAAGTCTGCTGCCAACAGAAGGGGATGACCTGAACTATAGCTCTTTTAAACTCAAACCTCTTGCTCTTAATTCGGATGTCAGAGAGAAATTTAACCACTAACTCGTTGGAGCTAATAGATCAGCTTTCACAGACTACAATCCCCTGGTTCGCCTAAGAACAACAACTCTATTGAATAAAGGTAGATAGCACAACTGGCCATGAATGCAGACTTACTGTCTAGATTGCCTCAGGACATGGACCTGTCAAGTTTTTGCTGAAACCCTGAAGACTGCATAGGCATTACTCATTAATTGAGTCAGCAGAAAGATCCTATTCTATATTAGAAAGTGGTCTGCAAACTGCCTCCAGTGTATCAAGAGTAAATACCAACCCTTTCACCCAATTGAAAGCTCATACCTGCTTGAAACAGTGGCTACTGACTACTTGTCTTTGGGAACCAGAGGACTATTAACACTATCAACATTTTCACTACAACTGGGTTGTACCCACTTGGGACCAGATAGCAGTGACCACTGTCAAAGCCTTCTGGAGGAATCTCATCAAGATCTCTCTCAGTCTCTCATCTCTCTCCTTAGGTTGCTCGCTTCACCCATCTCTCTCGACCATGGAATTGCCAGCAGAAGCACAGCGCAGTCTTAATATGTGAGATGACAGATCAGTGAAAATGTGGTAAGGTTGTCATCTTTTTTTGAACTGATACATTAACAGTTCTGATTCCTCATGCCCAAATGTGTGACCCCACTAAATCTCTTAAGATTCCAAATCCCATCCCATGCAGGTGGGCTTGGCAATTTTGAGTTAAAGCTGGTTTGTGTGAAATATAGTGATGAAGTGTGTCTGTTCTCATTCTACAGGGTTGAAGGGAAGGCCAGGAGAGATAAAGATAAGTGGTTGGAGCTTCCTCATCCTCCCTCACAGCATGAAGGAACAAAGCTGTCGTGAAATGTTTCATCTGGCTAGTGAAAGATGTATGTCCTTGATGGAATGAAGTCATTTTTCTTGGGAATAACCAGTGTTTGTTTGTCCGAAGGTTCTACTTATGCAGGGGTGAAAAACCACCCCAGCAGAGCCTCACTGACAGTTGTACGGGAAGTGTTGTCTCTCCGTCTGCAGACGTAAAATAAATGTGTCCTTCATTGCCCCGTGTCTGTGTCTCAGTTCTCCTCTATGACTTCAATATCCACCATGTGTTGGATGACACAGTCTGCAGTTTAAACACTATGCAATTGAAATGCATTAGCCTGGCCAATCAAACTGACATGGTGTATGGATGGTGCTTTTTTCCAGCTCTACTTAAAGATGGGACTAACTAAGTCAGTCTCATTAGGTTAGAAGTAATCAGATATCTAAGGATGTTACGCAAAAACTTGCAGCAGTACACAGCAGAATTTTTTGCTGTATCTAGAAGTGATTAATAAGGCAGTTAAAACAAAACAGTTACTGATAATAACAAAAATCTTTGAAAAGATTTAGGAAGAAAATGAGGATTATTTCATTGTATTGCATTGTTGTATGGATGACGGATGTCATTTATTTTACTAGTTCCTTAAAACACTTCAGAACTAATTTCCTTGTGTATGCAGAGAAAAAGCATTTAGACTAAGAGACAAAGATAATAATTTGGTTGGTTACATTTATATGAAACACCTTCTGAAACAGAAGTGTTAATGAATTCAGACCCTTTTAGCTCCCCACGCCCACTGTGGTTCTTCTCTGGAAATTTCCACTGCTGCAGTCTGTGGTTTATTCTTCATAGCCTTTGCTCTACAGATCAGTGGTGCATCAGGTAGCAACAACCACAAAGCAACACATCAGTTATTTTCTGTCAGCTCTCTGAAACTCACAGACCCACAGGAGACATGAAACCAGAGTTCTCACATCTGTTAATAGTCCAGATCATACAAATACTTTAAATAAAGTATTTGTATATCAATCATCCACTGAAGAGATTAATAACCCTTTCATGATCTCAACCAAGGAGCTAATGTGTTTGCTAGCTTTGGTAAAATTGTTTCTGGATTGGTTGGTTTGCAAACTAAGAAACAGTGAAGGACAGATTGTTGCCATTGAACTCATTGAATTTTGGTGGTGATCTAGTTTGATTTTAGGAATTTTCCTAAAGATTTCTTTGTGAGAGAAAGTAGCTTCCTGGTGGACGTTTCTGCTCTCCAAGTGCTCTAGTTCTACATAGAGAGAAATGTTCTAACAGCAGGATGATAGAAACATGAATGTAGAAGTAAACAGAGTCTGTTGGATGAAGCAGTCAGAAGGCAGCAGCTGGAGGTCAGAGGTCAGACGGTGGACTGCCTGAGGAGTAGATGAGGTCTGGTTCTACTGGAAGCTCTGCAGAACATCAACACATTCTGGTTAGAAGGGGAAAAAAATGAAGGGTAGACAATAACATGTGAGACTAAAATAGTTTGATTAGATAAATGTATTAGAACAAAGCTATCTGTGTTTCTTTATACTACATTCACACCTAAAGCAGCAAGAGCGTGCTGCTTAACTTTTGATGCTTGTGCAAGTTTAGTCCTGACGTGCGGCTGAAGCGTCTTTGCGGCACTGGCTGCGCGGTCAAAAAAGTGGGTCTGATTCACATTGGGCGGAGCTACCCTATACTTTCTTTGCCTGTAAGAATGGCAGCTATATTTGCTGTGATCAGTGGGAATAAAGTAGTTTTAATATGTTTTTAAGTGAGAAGGTCCACATTAAAACTTTATCTGTGCAGTCAGATCATCAAGATTACGATTCTGCCTTCAAATATTATTTCTCTTTTGGAGCCACTCAGACCCCCATATACCAGCGGTGCGCTGTCAGTAGGAATCCCATTCAACAGCAGCCTCTGGCCCAGTTGCCTCTTCTCGGTTTGCCGCAGTGGCTGGAGGGCATTTTTTTAATGTACTTAATCCAAACTGCAGGCACCAGGATAATAAAAGTTAACTTGTTTCGCAGGCAGATTTCGGCATTTTAAGTTAATTTAGGCGTTAATAAACTGTTTCAGAGGAGTGATCATAGGAATCCGTATCAGCAGCGATGTGTCTGTCAACTCCAGCAGCAGCTGCGTTTGCATCGCGTTGTGCGTCAGATGCTCAAATGCTCAGACACGCAGCACCTGCTGCTCAAAACACGCTGCAGGACCTTATGCTGCGCAGTGATGCGCGTCAACCATTAACTTTGCATGTAAACTAGCTGCTCCTTTGCTGCTTGCAGTGTGAACATAGCATTATTCTGGGGGTCTCTGCTCCCGTCATTCAAGACCTCCCTTCATGATGGGTGGGGCTGCCTTGGCCTCTATAAGCTGAGGGTTCCTGGTACTTCCTGCCCTTTGGTGCTCAGTTTCTTCTACAATTTTCACTATTATAAATATCTAAACTCCTGCATTGGACAAGTGAATGCCTTGAACAAACAAATTGATAATGGAGTACCCAAAATTGTATTCAAGTAAGAGTAACACTTCTTTTTTCTACATTTATTTTTTCCTGGGGAAAACAAAATGTACATGTTGAAATAAGAAAAAATAAAGAAATTGGTAAGAATGCATTTCAAGTCCTGAGAAACTGGTTGATCATTATATCTGATTTAATGTTTTTAATGATGTAGTCAGACGTGCATATTATGGGCACATTCTGGTATTTTAAACAAAAAACAAAGCAATTTCATTAATCCTTATGATGAGAATAGCAGAAATGTTGGGACAGGGTAAATAACTGCCTCTGACAGTATGTGGTTCCACTGTGTATTCACCTTTTAGCAAAAAATATTACTCAATATTACTCAAGTACAAATATCAACACTTTAAAATAATAGTATTCAAGTAAACATGAAAAATGCAATATAGAAAAATCGCCCCTAAAAGTATATTTCTTTCCAATTGTTACTCTAGTAAATGTAACTAGTTACTACCCCCTTCTGCCATAAAACAATTAAAAAGGTTAAACACTAGAAAGGGAACCTAGTTCCAACCTAAATTGATTATTTCCATTGCAATCAAGAGTTTGCATTAGGTTTTTCCAAAATGATTTATTTACAACTGTTTAAATTGTCAACATTAGGTTTATATGTGGGTTTAGTCCTCACCCACAGACATGTTTCTAACAGGGACTCCATGTTTCAGCTTGAACGGATCAGAACACTAGATGTTCTCTGATCATTTTCAGCTCCTGATGCAGCAGAAGATCTCTGCAGCTCTGCAGACATGAACATGTCCCCTCCTACCTGCTTGGAGGCCTCTGCTTCCATCAAGGCTGTAGAAATAGATCTGGCTTTGGACAGCAGCTCTGTTCCTGGATCAGTGGTTCTGTATTCACAGACCGACCAGAACTTGATGTCTTCCTCCCTGAACTCTGTCCTGAGGAACTGAGAGAAGGTTTCCATCCCATCTGACAGAAGAAAAACACAATGAGAGAAACACTGTTAATGCTGAGAGATGAACAACAGAGAGATGAGAGGAGATCTAACTGGGTAAGACCCATATCCAACATCCTGCAGACACAGATGCTCCAACATGATTTAAGTCTTATGAGGGAATAAATTGAGGCAATAGTTCAAATGCATGACGTTCTTTGTTCATCCAAATAATTTGGGGAAATGGAAAAGAACAGGTTTAACATAAAAGACATAAAAGATTTATGAATCAAGAAGTTTTTGGTTAACCTTTTGAGTTTTGACGATTGCACTTAATCAGTAGAACCAGTAGAACCAGAACACATGGGCACAGAACAGAAAACAAGATGGCAGGAAGAGATAATGCAGATGCAGCTGGAGGAGGAGGAAGAGGTGTGGTTGCAGGATCATAGGTGGTGGCTTTCCCTTAAATAAAAACATTTCTTAAGATACCATTTAGTCAGTAAATGATGAGACCTAATGAAATGAGTCAAGGAACAAAGAGATGAAGATTATTGATCCTGACCTTCAACAGAGATCCAGCTGGATGGAGACTCTCCATGACCACTGATGTTACACCTGTAGAGGCCTTCATCAGAGCTGGTCACATGCTGGAGGGTCATGTGACCTTTGGGCTCAGTCCTGATGAGGGAGCCATCTTTATAGAAAGCAGCTGGGAGGTTGGAGGGAGTGGTCTTTGTTAGACAGCTCAGAGTGACGTCATCTCCCTCCATCACAGGGAGGACAGGACTCTGCAGGATCACTGATCCACCTCAACACAGAGACAAACTACAGCATTTCATCCATTTCCACACAGCTTCATCAACACTAACTCCACAGTCTGATCTTACCAGTGACAGTGAGCTGGATGCTGCTGCTGGCTGCTCCCTCTCTGGACCAACACCAGTAAACTCCACTGTCATGTTCTCTGATGCTGCTGGTTTTGCAGGTAGAACCTTCTTTTCTCCACCATCCATCTTCACACTGAGTCCTGGTTCCTCTGGTTGTGTTCCTCCATACAGTCCATCCAGCAGAGCTGCTGTTCTCCTCACAGCTCAGAGACACAGAGTCTCTAGGAAAGAACTGAGATCTGCTGGGACTCACAGTCAGAGCAGCTGGAAGGACTGAAAATAAATATACAGTTTCAAAAAAAAAAAAATATTGCTTTGCATTAAAAGCTGGAATAAGAAATTCTCATAAACATTATAGACTTGTAATGTATTTTATGACCTTTCACAAAATACTGAATAAGTTGGTATAGTTGGAATTTGTCCCTAAAAATCACTCAAAGCATCTCAGTGAAAATGTTTCTAACCTTGGTTTGTTCTGGAGCACAGCAGGAAGCTCAGACCTACAGAAAACACATTTAGACGCATTTAAATCAAAGTTAATATTTAGAAGCAAAGATTCTGGAGCCATTCATGGAACAGTTTTACCTTTTTGTTCCCTTTATATTATCTCTAAGCTGTTTTAATGTGTTTAGCTCACAGGTTAAGATGATCTTTCATCTTGCACATTTCACCTCTTTCATTAACTCAGTCTAACTTGTTTCTCCTCCTTCTGTTCCTCCATCAATCATCATCAGAGCAGCCAGTAATAATCTTTCTAACTCAGATGTTCTGTACTTACAAAGCAGCAGGCTCTGAGGTGTTTCCTTCATGGTTCCTCTCACTCATCTGACGGCTTTTCAGCTCTGGCTGAAAACACATAATGTAGTCCGCCCTCTTCCTTTACGTATAGTGGGTTGGTTTTTCACCAGAGCGCTGGGACTGCTAAGATTGATAGTGTTGATAAAAGGGTCTCTAATGGCATTTTATTTAACAAACTCATGTCTTGCTTTAAAATACTATAAAAAGTTTATTTCGGGCCAAAGAAAGAGTATAATTTTTTTTAAGACTTTTGTTAACATTGTCCACCATAGCTGCCCGAGTTTGACCAATCTGCTCTTCAACCAGCACCAATTCATGATGAACAAAGAAAGATACCCCTGACATATCCTTAGACTAAGGGTACATCAAGATGGTTTGTTTACGCTATTTAAAGGACTCTTAGGATGATTGAAACAGCCTTCAGTGCAGCGCTGGGACACAATCGGTCTACAAACATGACCTTCTAAGGATGCAGCCCCTCAATTGGGATACAGCCACAGTATCTGTGATCGACAGCATTTACCGGAGCTAAGAACACAAAGTGTATCTTCATTGAGCCTCCATTTACACCTGGGACCTACAGTGAAGAAAATAACAATTCCCCTAACGACTCCCCTTTTCAGAGGCATAGGCCAGTATTGGGTATTGCAGTGGTGGTTAGTAAGTGGTGGACCTGTTTTTTCAGTTCAATTTGCATGTTTGAAAGCCATAACAAGTTTGTTGATTAATTCTATGAATCTTAGAATTCAATGCTGTTCCAGACATTTTGAATTGAAAAAGCTTCCTAGATGGTAAGCTTAACGTCTTCAAACTTGGAAAACAAAGTCCATTGGATTGTTTTTTTTTACTTTTTAGGAAAGACTGTGACCTGGATGACTGAGAATCTTCTCCAGCATATTTGAACAACCTATTATTTTGCAAGCTCTCCTACTTAGAGATCAAGGAGGGGAAGTTTTATATTAATATATTATAAGATTATGTTTTTCACTTATATGTATATAGTATATTAAGATTACTATTATTATTCAGTATTTATAGGATTGTTCTTTGATAATGAGTATAATGATCTATAGAGGACAATTTGTTGTTATGGAATTTACAAAAGAGCGTAAAGTTATTTTTTTATTAATTTTATGTTAAATTTAATTTATTTTTTGTCACTGTCAAGACTTTTTCTTAAATCGTTGTGAATGGTAAATTGATGTTTAACTGTCTAACTAAGGGCTTTTTGTTCTTTGTCTAAACTTCTTCCACAACTCTTTTACAAACTATGTTCTTTTAATAATATGTATGACATACATTAACTGATTTAAAAAAAAATGTTCACATATGTGTAAATAATGATCAAAAAAACAATTTGAAGAAGAGTTTAGACAAATCTTGACAAGGACTGCTCCATAGACCCTCTAAGAGGTTTAGCTTCACTGGAATTGACATATTTTGGCGTGTTATCCAATCAGGCCTCTATGTTCTTGCTGCTGAATAACAGGACAATCAGTAGAAACACAGCAGTTCTTCTATTCTGTATTGTATTTGCAGCTTTTGATTTCACAGCTGCTGGTATTTACCAAAGTTTAAAAGTAAACTGTTAAACTAATACCATTTGTTCCTATTGGCTGTTCGCACACCTCATGTTGCTGTGCATGACTAAAATCCAGAAGATCCACCAGTGTTTGTTAACAGTAATCTTCTTTTGTTTGTGGTTTGCAGTTTTTATTTAAGTTCCAAAAGTTACTAGATTACATGATTCTAAAGGTTTTTCTAATTTAAGAAAAAAAAAAATCTAACACATTTTTATTCTTGTTTGCTTTTCTCTGAAGGAGTTTGGATTGCTTAATACTTCTCTCTTAGTGAGAGTAGAAACCACTTTCATCACAATGAACAAAAACATTCAAGTTAAGGCATGTTAACAGCAAAAGGAAGACTGCAGTAGGACATATTTACCCTATGAGCTGTGTTGAGCTTTTTCTGGATGTTAAATCTAGACGCCTTTGGAGTTAAATGGCTATAAATGAAAAAATTTAAGGTTTAAAATCTTCCTGTTGAAAGTAGATTTTTGAATAACTTTCATTCATCAGTCAAAATCTGATCTGCTGATCTTCCAACAAGTTTGTATCAACAGATTTTTTTGTTTTCTATTTATAGTGCAGAGAAAAGGCTTTGAAAAAGTTTAGAGGTTGAACATTTGGAGACAGGCTTACTTTCAGTCGGACCTTATATTCAGTAGTGTTCCCCTCCAAAGGATATTTGTCTTTGACACATGAAGCTGTGGGCACCCGACCGGGATACAGTCCAGGTTAGGACCTTTTCCTACCCTTGGCTGCATCCTCAAAGCATTGCCTCTAACCAGACAAAACTTGTTCAGATTCAGGAAGGAGTTGTTCTGAACATTCTTATCTTTAAGTAACTAAGTATCCTCATAGAGAACACATAAGAACGTGTTGAAGAAGTTTTACTTTTTGAAAAATAATGTTTATTAAACTTATCTTTCACCATCTGCTTGTCTAAACCTTAGCAACCCAGTGTGTACCTGGTTAGATGCACTCTGCAGAACTTAATGGAACAGAAGGAAGATTGTTGAAAGAAGGCTGTGAGAGGTTCTGTCCTCTAGTTTGCTTCAAGCTTTGAAGGAGACACAGAAGATCAGATCACAGTCAAACTTAAATAACAACATAATTATGAGGGGGAAAAACTGAGAACATACATCCGCCACAAAGCATCATCTGCACAGTGTGGGCAGTATTATGCACTGGAGAGACTGTTTTTCAGAAGTGAACTGGAAACTGGCCAGAGCTGATAGGAGATGGAGCAAGCTAAATCAAAGACTGGAGTGGAGTTTCAGTTTGCAGCAGGATAGCCTGCCTAAACAATTAGGGCAGTCATCTCTGAAATCCAGTAATGGAATGGATGGAAGATCAAAGCATATTCAATATTTAGAATGACCTAGTCAAAGTCACAAAGAGTTACTATGGGATGGTTGTATGTTCTACAAAGTATTGACTCAGGGGAGATAAAATAAATGGACACTACTATTCTTTGTTTTCCCTTCACAACTTCTTAAAAAACTTAAATCTGTTAAAAACCTCATGGAAGACCAAGAACCTGATGGTCAGAAATATTCTCCATACAGTCTGACTGATTCTAAACTGTTTAACACACATACAAAACAGAACCTGGGGTATAGACATTCCCTAAAATATGTGCAGCTGTTATAAAACATGCCACACCTTTCAGATAGTTTTTTTTTTTACTATTTCTAAAAGTATCTGCTAATTTGTGTTCTGATGAAGGCCTATACAGGTGTAACATCAGGGGTCATGGAGAGTCTGATCACTGATCCCCCAATAAAATACAATTTGTTTTGTTTTGTTTTTTTGTTATAACACCAATAAGAAGAAAAAAAAAACATTTAAAGGATGTGAATATGTTTTTGTTGTTATTTTTGATAATTTCTTAAACATAGAACCTCTGATTAGATCCAGGCTATGTAGGAATCACTTTTTTCTCAGAACCTCTTAGGCAGTGGTCTCCAACCCTGATCCTCAAGATCTACTGTCCTACAGATTTTAGATGCATCCCTGCTTCAACACAGCTGAATCAAATGAATGGCTTGAAAAGGTAATCAATCATTTGATTCAGCTGTGTTGAAGCAGGGATGTATCTAAAATCTGTAGGACAGTAGATCTTGAGGACCAGGGTTGGAGACCACTGAGAGGGATTCATTCGAGCCTGCAGACTAGAGCATCTTTTTGTCTCTGTGGATCAAACCTCAATTCAGACACAAATCTGTTCTTCTGTAACACAAATAATGGATGCAAGTCCTTCAATAAATGCCTGGAGATTGTTAAGATGGTTTGGATGGCTAAGTGCAAATGTGCAACAAACCCTTTGGATTTCTAACAAAGCCAAGAGAGCCTTTGCATTCCCCCAGTGCTAGTTTTTACACACTCAGTGAAACTCTGCTCCCCGGCTTAACATTCATGTGATTTTATGGATAAATAAATACATCCGCACGTTGCAGTAATCTCAGTCTAAAATGCGTTTTTCTAAAAATCACCAAGGTGAACATCGTAAAAAGGTTTTAGATGTTATGTTGGACAGGTTTGTCTTTGATTATAGTGGGGCATGATGCAATGGTCCTTGGTGCTGATAAGGAGGGGTTTCTTTTTGCATATTCTCTCTATGGATAAAGGTATAAAATCCAATTCAGTCCATTTTTATTTGTTAAGCACTCACAACAACCAGAGCTAACCAAAACGCTGTAGGAAAAGAAAAAAAAACACAGATAAAAGACTGTACTACATCAGATTGTTC